AGAGGAAGAGGAGGCTCATTAAGTAGCCAAACACCACTGTGGACAAAACAACCAGGAGGAAATGCAAGATTCTGCCATCCTTTCTTTACCACACCAATTAAATTTGAGAAATCTTATCTTGCATGCTAACAGCCAAGTTGTGTTTTTCTGCTGTTTTTAGACCTCAAGTATTCTTTATAAGCAAATTAAGACAAATAAGCCGTAATGAAAATTTATTCTGTTTAACAATGATTTTTAAATGCACTACACATTCTTGTTTTTATTGAGAAATCTAGGTTATTTTTTGATCATTTAAATGCATAATTACTTATCTTTATGTGCTATGATTAAACTGTGATTAATTGATGTGCACTATGTTTGGAATGACCCGTGTCACAGAGCGTACTTAAACAAAAACAGACAGCTTAGTTAACATGTGCCTATCACCAGACAACAAAAAGACACATAACTGTTTTCCAATTAAGATTGTAAGATTGTTGTAAAAGAATTCTGGCCACTGGATACAGAAGATCCTCCCAATCGATGTGACGTCTTGCCCTTGGGGAGTGGCCAGACCGGGAAGAAAACGGATAAAATGTGTTGGTTTCTTTTGATTCTTTACAAAAATATCCCAAGACTGAATAAAGGTCTGCATTTTCATTCAGCTGAGGCATTTGTATGGCTTTATTCTTTTGCACATCAATGTTCAAGTCTAAACCTGAATTTGTCTGAGTCTGCTCTTGCCCATCAGTAAAAACATGTTTCTTACAAGCCTTTTCAAGCAGAAAGACAAAGATAAGAAGACAGATATGTTGGACGGCAGATGAACAGATGTGGGAAAAGGAAACGGTAAGACAGACGCCTAAGTGAGAGGAATAGTGAGCAAGACGCTGACCACCATCCTCGGGTTTGATTGGCAGCATGGTCAAGAGTTCCAATTCGTTGTGGCCTTGCATTTGCATTTCTTAATTAAATGCCAAAACAATGTGATGGTTAAAGATAACTATCAATGCCACCACCCACCCCACCCACCACCACAACCCCACCCCACTCTCAGCTCTTGCAAAAGAATAGTGGCAGTGAGTTGGAGCTAAAGCAGCGATTCTCAATTACGGTCCTCGTGGCCCACTATCCGGCATGTTTCTCTTCTTATCAGCTCATCTTTAGGTTCTGCAGAAGCCTGCCAATCACTCATTCATTTAAATCAGTTGTGCCAAAGCAGGGAAACAACTACAACATGCAGGATAGTGGTCCATGAGGACCAGGACTTAGCTAAAGAGAGGTGGACAGCAGCACATCTATTCATTTGCAGAAACCAAGGCAAGGCAATGTTCCAGTTTATATATATATATAT